TGTGTATGCGTGTGTGTGTGTACGCGTGTGTGTGCGTGATTGTGTGTGCGTCTGTTTGTGTGTGTGCGTGCGTATGTGCACGTTTGAATGTAGGTACGCGTGTGCATAACTCAACACTGGCTGGAGAGAGCCATTTGCCCACAGCATTATGCCACCGGGAAATCCCACGGCGATATACTAATATCAAACCAAGGATTTCCTGTACACGAACTGCTGTGACCTGTGCTTATACCATTATCAAAATATCACAACAGCTGCGTCGAAGTGGTTGTAGCTGTGAGTATGGTGACGATGGTGGCCGCGTGGCTATGGTGACTTAAGGCCTCGTTCCTCGACCACGCAGTTTCGACCTGTTATTAGGCGGACGCTCAGGACATATTGGTGGTGACCCTTCCTGGAAGCGATCGCACGCCGCCGCTGCCAGACAAGCTGTATTTCCTCCCATGTCCCACCAGCAATCCATATACGGTTTTATCGACCCCTGCTACACATATATAAATACGATTTTATATACATATATATACATATATATATATATGAAACCATGAACAACTACTATTCATATTCCTCCGAAAAATTAAAGATCCGCTAGTTACTACGGGAAATAATCAGTCATATCCGATTATCACATGTCCGCCGGAGATGGAATTCGTAATTGGGCAGAAGCTGAGATGCGCAGGAGAAAGTCTGGGGGAGCCTGCCTCGCCTGGCTCGCGCCCCTGGCCGAGGGACGCCGAGGGACCGCGGGACCTGCCAGGGAAAACAGGCGATCCCTAATAACAATGTTTATGTAAGCCTCTCGCTCCGTTCCGGTGCTGATGCAAGGAGATACCGTGGTTTTGCATGTATACATGTATATGTATCATATATGTGTATATACATACACATATGTGTGTATGTATATATATATACGTATATATGTATATATATATATATATATATATATATATATATATATATATATATATATATATGTGTGTGTGTGTGTGTGTGTGTGTGTGTGTGTGTGTGTGTGTGTGCGTGTGTGTGTGTGCGTGTGTGTGTGTGTGCGTGTGTGTGTGTGTGTGTGTGCGTGTGTGTGTGAGTGTGTGTGTGCGTGTGTGTGTGTGTACGCGTGTGTGTGCGTGTTTGTGTGTGCGTCTGTTTGTGTGTGTCCGTGCGTATGTGCACGTTTGAATGTAGGTACGCGTGTGCATAACTCAACACTGGCTGGAGAGAGCCATTTGCCCACAGCATTATGCCACCGGGAAATCCCACGGCGATATACTAATATCAAACCAAGGATTTCCTGTACACGAACTGCTGTGACCTGTGCTTATACCATTATCAAAATATCACAACAGCTGCGTCGAAGTGGTTGTAGCTGTGAGTATGGTGACGATGGTGGCCGCGTGGCTATGGTGACTTAAGGCCTCGTTCCTCGACCACGCAGTTTCGACCTGTTATTAGGCGGACGCTGAGGACATATTGGTGGTGACCCTTCCTGGAAGCGATCGCACGCCGCCGCTGCCAGACAAGCTGTATTTCCTCCCATGTCCCACCAGCAATCCATATACGGTTTTATCGACCCCTGCTACACATATATAAATACGATTTTATATACATATATATACATATACATATATATATATGAAACCATGAACAACTACTATTCATATTCCTCCGAAAAATTAAAGATCCGCTAGTTACTACGGGAAATAATCAGTCATATCCGATTATCACATGTCCGCCGGAGATGGAATTCGTAATTGGGCAGAAGCTGAGATGCGCAGGAGAAAGTCTGGGGGAGCCTGCCTCGCCTGGCTCGCGCCCCTGGCCGAGGGACGCCGAGGGACCGCGGGACCTGCCAGGGAAAACAGGCGATCCCTAATAACAATGTTTATGTAAGCCTCTCGCTCCGTTCCGGTGCTGATGCAAGGAGATACCGTGGTTTTGCATGTATACATGTATATGTATTATATGTGTATATACATACACATATGTGTGTATGTATATATATATATACGTATATATATATATATATATATATATATATATATATATATATATATATATATATATATATATATATATATATATATATATATATATATATATATATACATATATATATGTATATATATGATATATACATATCTATATATCATATATACAATTCAAATAGACACACACATTGTGTGTGTGTGTGTATTTGTGTATGTGTGTGTGTGTGTGTGTGTGTGTGTGTGTGTGTGTGTGTGTGTGTGTGTGTGTGTGTGTTTGTGTATGTGTGTGTACATATATATATGCATATGCATACACATATATATGCTTATAGATAGTTATATAAATAGATATAGATATATGTGCGTATGTGTATATAAATGTATGTATATATGTGTATATAGGTTTATATGTTTGTAAATGTACGTATGTCTGCATGTTCATGGTGGTACCGTCCAAAAAACACGATGACTGGCGGTCATTTTATTATAGTATGCTTTTGTAGATTCAAGTTCGTTATTATAGTGAATGCATGTGAGCGTAGCATGTGTGACGATTTTTTTTTACTTCAATAACCTTACACCACAAAACACTGCGTTCCGTGTCACAATTACTGTATGTTAACACAGTGATCATTCTTAAGATCAGTTATCGATCTATTAACTTTAAATAGTAAGTCTTAATGTTGATTTGTACTGACAATGAAACACGAAACATAATGTGGTTATTATTATTATCTCTGCACCTGTTATTATCACTAAACCCACCATCCTTCCAAATAAAACAGTCGAGAATAAAAGTCACTGCCCCATGCATTACTGAGCTAACACAACGCCATTAAAGACCAAGCCGTACTGTTGCAAGAGCAAATCTCTAATACAAAAGAAAATGCTGATTCACATGAGTTTTTAAACGAAGTCCTGCTCCAGTAGTTCGTGTCTCAACCGCCCGGCAACACAGGCTGGAGCGAGCACACGTCCCCAGGCAAAAACATACCCACTACCATCGTGTGTATCAAATGTATCAAACGTATCCATTCTTCTTTCTAAACCGATCATTTTAGTAATACGGATCCTCCCTTACATGAACATAACAAGCAACAGGATAATATTACTTACAAGGACCCTTAAACAAGCAAAAACGAGACGCTTATAATATAAATATAGCGTCAATGTTCTTGTCATGTCGGCTAACCCACTGACATAGATAGCTTCGGATCACTACCTGCGGACCGTCGAGCTCTCTCACGGACCCACGCACCCACTTAGAGACCTCTGGCCCATAATTCTTCCCCAGATGTTTACACGTATCATAAACATTATTGCATGTTTCCTTCCCTGCAGTGTGGTTGTGGCTCTTTGCAAGTCGTGTTGGACCACCAGTTTATTTTTTTTACGGTGGATTGTTATTTTGTTTAATCATCATACTGGTGGTCCTAGAATAAAGCTGAGTTGGAGGCAGACCGTTGTGTACTTTGCTTTAGTGTATGTATTTGCTAACACTGTTTAAGCGTTATTCTGGGAGGTTCCATGGCCAATTTTAGAATCAGCGGGACCGTCCGTTTTTAATTCCTTATCATGATGGACATCACTAGGTCGCATATAGAGTCGAAAATTCATTATTTTCGTCTGGAAAAATAAATCAATAGATGTATCGTTCAGTACCTCACGTGGGGTTGCCAGAGTCGCAATAACTAAATGATTTAGTACACACCTTGAAGCAACGACCACATTGCGAATAAACAGTGACGAGTTGGATTTTTAACCCTGATGATGTGTTGAGCAAAACGAATAAATACAAAGTAAGCATACATTGAAAGAATGTAAGTACGGAGAGGAAGTAAGTGTCGGCGGTGTTGTTATCCCGGGTGTTGCCTGAGGCTGTGACCGGTGTGGGTGGGGGAGGGACGAGCCCCCTCCCTTTCCCACCAGACACTTGTTCATCTTCTTATTTTCTTCCACCAAAAGACTGCACTCATGAAATATCTAACGAAAGTGAGGACGCGAAATCTACACATCACAAAGAACCCTATTGAACATCGCAACAAAAGAGAAACAAGCATTAAAAGCCTCCAATAAAACATCGAGTGATCACCTCGGTACAGGTGGCGGGACAAAGTCCTTGGGACCGCTAGGTTAGCGGCTCTCGGCTACGGTAACTGTTTTCCACCGCGTTTCGTCTGTTTCACTCCGCTTCACGCGACTTCTTTTTCCTCTCTTATCTCTCTAGAAGGCTAGATAACAAGACTATTTCATGAAGGAGACTTTCGTGATTTATATTGACACATACTGATAAGAAAATATGCGGTCGTGCGAAAGGTTAGACGAAGTTTGACGTTACATTAAGACACAAGTCACTTCTATAGCGTTTGGGTATACCGTTAGCAACCTGGGTCGACCTGAGACCGCGATTATACACCTTGTCGCGGTTGCCTGGGGCATGCGGGTATTTTCGGATGGTAAGGGGGTAAAACCAGGTGTCCAAGCTGTTTGTGGGAAATGTCCGAGACACGGAGGAAAACAGGCGCCGGTTCATTCATTGCTATTCCATCGTTTTTTTTTTTATCGGCGTCCCGTTGGTTGTACCGTTCAGCGTACCCGAGTAACCTGACGGGCCGGGCGCCTCGACCTCGCCAGCTAGCATGAACTCCTTGCTTTAGCCATAGCGTTCCTCCTTCACTCCGCCTTCTGGCCGCTCGTTGCCGCACCTCAGTCAGCATGACACCTGTGACCTCGCCCGGTGCACGACCTGTACATACTTGACCTCGCTAAACACTACGGTTTCTTGACTGCGACCTGTCACGTTTTCCTTCTCTCATAAAGAACACACGTCTGAAGAACAGACTTAGAAATGATGTTATCTCTTGTTATCTCTAAGAGATCCAGGTCAGCCACTCACAACTTCAGATTTTCTTCACCTGGAACAATCCTCTTGGTTTGGACACTGTAAAAGACACTACCGCCACCAAAAATAAAAACAGAAATAAAAACAGCCAATCACTCTTTCATCACACTCACCTAGGGCTTAGAAATAGCGAGGTGTGAGCACAGCACTGGGTAACACTCCACTGTTCACAGGACGCAATAACATCAAGTGGTGCCGAAGTCGAGCAATAGATCCACAAAACAGCCACACTGCAGGCCCTCGAAATGTAGCTTTCTGTAGCGTCGGGTTACACAGTGACGACAGATACGCAGCAGAGAGCCCACAGCCAATAACAGCAGTAGCAGTAGTAATAATAATATAAGTAACCCCACAGGAGAGAGCGAGAACGAGCAGGTCCGTCA